ATATATTTATAACATGCCTGTAAGTTTGGAGCATTGAAATCTGTGAGCCCAGTCTGTGAGTTGGTATGGGACCATGCAGGGAAGTAAGGCCTTTACTTCTACTTTCCTGACCACCATATAGACTCTACAAGGACACAACTAGTACAATTAACCTTGAGAGGCTGCTAAAGCCTCTAAAATACAGATTATTTACTTCAAGGGTGAAGTTTTCTTTAAAATATGTCTAAAGTACTGAATGAGTCTTTCCTGTCACGATTCAGGGAGTTTTAACTAATATTCATATTCCCATTATGACAAATAAATAAATTTGCCTCTTTTTCTTCTCCATAACTACATGGAGTGAGGAAAAAAAAAAAAAAAAAAAAAGAAAAAAAATTGAGGTAGCACCTTTCCTGCTTTTGAAAGTAGCAGAGCTGGATAGACTGTGAAGACTCAGTGCCTCTAAGTAGTAGAAATATGTTCAAAGTCAGGTTGTGTACTTTGTTCCCCAATTAAGCACTAAAATGTTATAATTATGTAATTGAATACCGAAATTAAAAATAGACATAAATTCTCCTGCCTCTACAAACTGGTGCAGAGCTTTCCATCACTGGATCTCTTCTAGAATCAATAATTCTATATTTTTTTTTACTACCAAAGGCAATCTGGACTGAACACTACATTAACTGACCATTTCTCCAATCTGCACTAGAAGTCAACATAAAAGTTCCATTTATTTATTGTTCCCCAAGCTCGTAAAAGCAGTATTTCAAAAATAGTTTATTGCTGTTATATTAACACACTCCTTTTTTTTTTTAAATAGAAGTAAAGATTTCTTACATGTCTAAGCACCTGCCCTCAGGTGCCTTACACTCATTTAAAAGAAAAATACTCTTTCAGATGCTATTTATGTAAACAGCACTTAATTCCTCTCTGATGATATAGCACCATCCTACAACACACATGAGCATAGAAAGCCTGGACTAAAGTATGGCAAATCACCATAATTCCCCCGTAGAAGAAAAGAAACCAGCTGCAAAGGAAAAGGATATTTTTAAAACATAATTTATAATAATAATAATAATAAAAACATATAGCACATACCTTAAATATCCCTAAACTGTACCAACTATCTATCTTGAAGCTATAAATACAAACAAAATAGTTGCTCACTGAATGGCTCTACTATTGGTTTTGAGATCAGATCGTTTGGTAAATGATGCAAGAAGTGATCATCAAATCAAGGAAGGTCAATACCAGTCCAGATTTTGTAGACCAAGGTCCTGCAATTTCTAAGGTACCTACAGGTTTTGTGACAGCACTTGCATGACTGGACTGGTCATGGTTACTTGAGAGCTTCTCATTTTGTGTCTTCAACTGCACCAATAAAATGCATTTGTCAGAAATATGCATAGTGCAAATACCCCTTGTTGGTTTTGGTTCTGAAATATCTAAAAGTATAATATTCTTTCATTATGGAATTCAGAGATAATTTTTTCATAGGTTACCTTGGTAACAAAATTGTAACTGAGTTCTTTTTTCCATTTTGCATTAATAAAGGACTAAATATTATAAGTAGCAGTAACTGTGTCCTATTAAGCCTTGATGCTGCATAAAGAAAGAAGTGTTTCTGTAGAAATCTGAGGTTTGGAATTATTCCTTTGTTTTTGAGTCACCATAAGTTTTAGGCCTGCTTATCTCTCTATATGAAGGCAGTTAAAGACAAAATCTCTTAAGAAGTGTAGCTCCAGGTTAAAGGCAATGAAAGAATTTCCTTGTGGTCTGTAAGATTCCTATATATAGATCTCATGTTCAGACCTTGATGGGTGTTTTAGATGCTCCAGTAACTGTGTTCAACTTTGTAAATATGCACATTACAAAGTCCGTGGTGCTTACAGAAAACTATAAAGGATGGCAGGAGTACTATTAGCAACAACTCAATTCCTCCAGGGTGAAGGAGTAAAAGAGGCAATAACCATTGATTATTCCATTAGCCACAGAGTTGCTTTAACCATTTCCAAGATCTCAGGTCCTCCAGCCTGAGGGAATGAGAACAGATGCAGGAGGGAAATGGGACTCAGCAAGATTTTATCAAGAGCAACAAAGTTCTTCTGGGGATGGAAGCTGCTGTAGCTGGGGTAAGAGTCACCCTGAACTCAAGCAGCTATTGGTCATGGTTTGCTCCTTTCTCCATTTTTTTGTGGGAAGTGACTACTTGATCTTTTATAGGTCTCCAGCCCTCAGCACACAATGCAGTGCATGCTCTTAGAGCTGGCTCCCTGAGAGGATGGAACCATCCAAGTGACAGTGTGTCCTGGGGTGACTTTATGATGCTTGTATCCCCATCATCTGTTCTGTTTATGCTAGATATTAAGTTCTGCACCTTTAAAACTAGTTCCAACAGCGAAGGAGGAGAGAAGGGCAGAGTTTGTTACCAGAAAACCCTGAACCAAGACACAGTGTTATCTCCTGTTGTTGTCTAAGCAGATTAGACAGAATATTTAATTAATAGTTAATTAATGCAAGACATGCGAAAGGTATTATCATATCTGTACTATATCTGAAAAAAACATGACTCAGTAATATAAGGGCAGAAAGATTAGGTCTTTAGCTTCCCACTTAAGAGAGGGATTTAGAATCTAAAATTTAGTCCATTACAGTTTTCTACATGAGTTGAACAAAGACTGTGACCAAAGCAGAGAAACACAGGAATAACCAAGTCTGTTGCTGGACCTCCTGTGAGACTTGCCATCATTTGTCATGAATGACTGCTGAATATCCAGGTATTTAAAACAAACCAGGGCATATTAACACTAAATAGCATAAAATCATTAAAAATTTCAATTATGAGGGAGCTCTTTATAACATCTGGTCCAAACTTTCACTCAAAGCAGGGCTAACATTTTTTGTAACTTGTATTTTTACTTGACTGATAAACTAGTAATTCAAGCTTGTCTACATAAAAAAAAAAAAATATTGAAGAAACAGTAAGTTAGAGATACTCATCTAATATGTAAGCTTCCTCCCTGTGCTGTATCTGGAATAGCCTTGATTTGCCAGTGTTTTGTGAGGAAGATACAATTTTGGTATCTTCTAGTTCTATTCTTTGATAGTGAAAAGTTTCTCAGGAGAGAGCATGCAGAAAAACCATCTGATGTCTGTGCTGTTGGCAGAGCTCCCTGGAGCTCTGGGGCACATCCCTGTGCTCCAGCATAGTTCTCACAAAGGGCTGGAGATATTTGGGAGTGCTGCTGCATCCCCAGACATCAGATAATCTGTGGGAAATAAATTCAGCATACTTATGGACAATCCAAGGGTTTGAGTGCTTTAACAATACCATCTCCAAAACGCAAGAGTAATCACAAAATCACAGAGTGGTCTCATTGGAGGGGACCACAGTGGGGCATCTGTTCCAACCTCCCTGCTCTAGCAGGATCATCCCAGAGCTCATGGCCCAGGATTGCATCCAAGTGGTTCTGAAATATCTCCCAGGAGGGAGCCTCCCCACCCTCTCTGGGCAACCCGTTCCAATGCTTGATCACTGCAGAGTGAGGTTCTTCCAAATATTCAGATGGAACTTGCTGTGCATCAGACGCTGCCTCATGTCCTAGTGGTTGGCACCACTGAGCAGAGCCTGGCTTTGTCCTTTTGGCATCCCCTCTTTAGATAATGATGCACATTAATGCGGTCCCCTATCAGCTGTCTTCTTTCAAGGCTGAACAGGCCCAACTCCCCCAGCCTTTACTCATCAGAGGGATTCTCAAATCCCCCAGTCATCCTCATCCCCCTCCATTGCATCCACTTCAAGAGTACCACATCTCTTTTTTACTGAGGAGCCCAGAATTTTACTCCAGATGGACAGAGTAGTCTAGAAAATAATATGAGAATTCCCAGATATTAACAGCCAGTTTTAGTTGTAAATGTTGAGATGAGAAAGGAATTGGAGAAAATGAGGGAAGGGTCTTATAGATTTATCAAATACATTCCCCATGTTAAGTACTGAAATGTTGTCTTGACAGTCTCCTTCAGTCTTTGCCATGGACTTCAGGCTGTGTGTGAGGAGAAAAAGGTCTCTATGACAGGCAATGGAGTTAATCTAACACTTTTATGTCTCTGTGTCTTCAAGTAACAGAACGGAGGTTGGACATGTTTCCAGACACTTCCAGTGTCAATAGTCTTTAAACTAAACCCTACAAGTGTGATGTAATCAGTTCAGTATTGGTAAAGAATTAATTAAGATGCTTCAAACACTCTGAGACTGAGGAGAACCAAAATTACTTCCATTTCCAAATGGACTTTTGAGACTTAATTAGTGGTTTCAGTCAAATCAGGGATAAACTGGACAATTAGGAAATCAGGTCAGTTTCAGACTCTTCCCTGCTAACCTCCCAACGTCTGCTAGCTAAGCCAAGTCACTTGTCAGCCTGTGTGTATTATCTGTCAGCTTTTACAGAGTTCTGTCATCCAGGGATGACAATAGAGGCAATAACTAAATATAAACACCTGTGCAGTTTGACAGCATGGTTAGCAGGTGATTTTAATCCCACAGGCCCTAAAGCCTAACCATTTGTCAAGTCCACTTATGGCACTGAAACAAGCAATGTGAATATAACCCTTACATATGTACTTACAGAACTATTTTGTGTTCTAAATAAATGTTTAAAATATCATGAAGCAGATTAATTGTAAAAAAGATTTTGTTTTGTGTTACCTCTGAATTCCTGATGTCACTAAAGGTCTTTCTAGAAATGTAAAAATAACAACAGTACGATAGTTTTTCATTAGTGAGACTAAATATGGATCCAAATAATATCTGGCATGATCTTAAACATACATCTCATATACCTCTGTCAGCTTCAGCAAATATAGCTAGATTGCTTTGAAAGGCATCCTCACGAGGAAGATGTGCTATGTAAGATGTTGTGTAAGTGGTTTACTTTGTGACTTTTCCAAAGCTTTCAAAATGATCATTCTGCATTTAGGCCGTGTGCTTGACAGTGTGTCTTTCATCTTACTAATAGGCACCACAAGGCCACATAAGGAGGGGGAAGTCCCTGGTGTGGACTATATTTTCATCACTGTTGAAGATTTTATGGAATTGGAGAAAAGTGGTGCTCTCCTAGAAAGCGGAACATATGAAGGTAAGCAGGCTTTTACTGCTAAATTTGTATGGTGTTTCCATTGTACTGTTTTCTCATTTGATGGGATTGCTCTGGTATATCCTGTTACAAATATGTCTTTGCTACTGCTATCAGAAATTTGTGAAGAGCCATATGGCCATTATGAAAATATTTTCATATGTAAAAGCTAAATGCAGATGAGTTAATTGTAATTTTACTATATTATAGTGGTTAAGAGAAACATGGTACTACATTGCATTTACAGGACAGAAGCACGAGAATTTACACCAAATACTCAAGGCCATTTTCACAGAATTTCAGCAAACAGCTGCTTTCTAACATAGGGCAAATGCATTCTACAGCAGAAATCAAGCATGAGGTTGATACTTTTCCTTTGCATGTGGGATCCTGCAATTATCCATCTATATCAGAAGCTGAAACCTCACTACTTAAATAACAGAGGAAGAATTTGCTATGTCATGTCTTCTGGGCTTTGTAAAGTTATTGAAAAGAGCTCATAACTCATTAATTCTGTAATATGGCAGAGGGATAGGAGCTGTCCTAATGGCTGTATTAGAAGTGCTGTCTATGGGGCAAAGAGCCAGCAGCTTACTGCATGACTCTGCTTCCCAGGAGAACCAATGATTCATCTGATTCTAAACCTTTTCCAAAACACAGCTGTCCTGAAAGTGAAACTGTTGTAAAGAGGTGGGCAGTTACATCACAGGGTATTTTAATAAAACCAGAGTAATGATACACTATTTTAAACCAGATGTTTCTTGCAAATATACTAGTATTTAAGGTAACTGGGTAATGGATAGTGGTTTTTTACTGCAATATTCAGAGGGAACACCATTTATAGGAAAAATATGACCCAAATATATGGGAATACCTGGGTGAGTAGAGCCATTTTATGGAAATCAGCCCCATATTTTCATCTTGTAGCAAAAAAAAGCAATAAAGACCTTTTTGTCCTTACTTTGTCCCTGCCAAGAAAAGCATCTGAAGATAAATAAGAAGCTATTCACCCCAAAAAAATCATTAGCTGTGTTATAAATACCAGCAAAGAAGGTAATTTTTTTCCCACCGAATCAGCACAAAGTACCCATTGTCCAGTAAATAAATTTTCATTAAGAGTTACATCAATACAGATCTTTTAACAAAGATTTCCATTAAAGAAGGTCAAATAAAGGAAAGTATGTAATCTTTCAGGTTTCTACTTTTTTCACTACTGTCTGGCATGTAATGGTACAAGTTACCTAAACATTAATACGACACCACAATTTTACTTTTATCACAGGTTAATTTAATAGCAAGCCTTCTTGAAGAGTCTTTTTGTTACCTTAGGTGTTTGAAAGTAACAGTAGAGGAGCTTAAATGGAGCACAAGTCTGTCATTGCTTGACCATGTAATTTCATTAGTTTGTAGCAAGTTTGTAGAGATTGAACTGCTATGTTAAATTAATTCACAGTGCTCTTCTGTCCCTCGAGGGATAATGAGATGTATCTTTTAATACCAGCTACCAGAGCTGAGGGGACAGCAAGGTGAAATATTGGTTGAGGAAGTCTGCATAACTCCTCAAACCAAGTGAGGACCCAGCTGAAGAGAGGTCCAAAGTTGTGACTGTAACATCTGCCACATCATTTGCTTATCACAGGTGATAAGTTCACTGGAAACAAGAAATCAGAAACTAAATCTACAGCTAACTGAGCTCAACAGACCAATTCTGCCTAAATCCTGTCTTTGATTCCCAGGTTTTCTAATAACCAGATGTGCATTCTGACAAAAAACAGATAATATATTATCTGCCTTTGCCTTATGGTAAAAAATAGGTAGCACATGAGAAAATATAGCTATTTTACAGATGCTATTTCTCCTATTCCCACACAAAGTCTTTTGGATATGACCATACAAATTTACACCTCCACAGTTTCCTGGTTAATTCTTGACTGTAACGCCATCTTTGGGAAAGAATTTTATTAACCATCCTGTCACAAGTTTTCCTGAGCACATTAGGACTTCAACGATTAAGTTTACTGGTAAAACTTACACCAACCAGAGCAAAGAAATTTTCGATTTCCCTCATGAGGAGATGATTTTTGAGTTCTTGGATAGATCAAGCAATTATTTGAGCATATATACTCTGGGAGATAAATTTTTCCTTATCAACACTGGTTATTAGATTTATGAAACAAATCACTCTTTTTTTAAATTGTTCTCAGTATTAATTAATTGGTTTAAATATTTATTTAACTTTTTGTTTTAAGAAAATAATTCTGTATTTCTATGCTGATTATCTAACCACAACCACTATGAACCAGTTCAACTCTACCAGAAAAATGTTCTAAATAAGGGATTTATAATTGAGATAAAAAATCTGACTCTATACCTGTGTTGTTTTTCATCACTTTTTGACTAGAAGGTTTGTTTCAGTCAATTTACTTTCTACTGTATGAATTCCAAAGAGAATCAGGAACGTCCAGGTAAGCCAGAGGAGAAGGAGGTGAAGTGCAGACTTTCCTGACACTGAGTGTTAGTACTGTTCATTATAGTATCTGGTATTGTTGGGAGTGGGATATTTTCTTATAGTAATGACAAAACCAGTAAAATAATCAGTAATGTTGTGTTCTATTGCAGTAAATAAGAGTTGTGATTCCAACTTGGACAGGATACAATCTAAAAGTGAAGCAAAATATATTCTTAGAAACGTAGAGTTGTATGTATAGTTCTTTTTTATTTTTTTTCTTTGAAGCACACCTTTTTTTTTTTAGTTTTAAAATAGATCTTTAAGTTATAAATTCTTTAGAGTTAAAAATAGGATACTCTGTGACCTTCTTACTGCTTTAGGCTTTGGATACACCTTTCTTTGTCTACCGCTTTTGTGACGACTGTGAATGACTGCAGTATTCCAAAGTGCTGCAGAAAAGCAATAGTATGTTCAGGACAAAAACCTCAACTTATCTCTTTTTTTAGCAGTTTTGCAAATATGAAAATATTTCATTTCAGTAGGACTAAATGCACTCTTATTTTGACCTTTCCTGCTTATGTCATATTGAGCAACTGCTGATAAGAAAGCGATCTTCATAGATATTAATTATTTTAAACATACATAATGTTACATAAACAGTTGCTATGCTTTGCAGCTTACCTGTTGTTAAGCTTCCTGTCAGTCTAGGTAGTATTATTCAATGCAGAACAAGAGAAAGAATATGAGAGGCAGTTCCACTCTCACTCAGATTAAAAGTCGAAGTCACACTAATTTGTTGACATTGTTATTGGGTTTTGAATTGATAATAAAATTTAAAATTTTACTATGCACATTTATCTAAAATTGAAAAATTTTTATACACCAGCACCTTGCTATTTCAGGCAGGGGCTGTTTGCCTGAAGCACATCAAATCTTTGTATAATAACACAACCAAGACCTAAAGGTTTCACTTTGTTTGCTTTTTGGTAGAATTTAAATTTACTGTACTGACTAAAGAAATTCTGAAATTGACTCAAAATGATAACTTCACTATCCAACACATTTAGATGACATCACCATGGTTCTGTAACCAGAGGAGGAGGTGTTCCTGTGCAGAATGAAAGCCACTGCCATGCAGGCTCATGTAACACAGGAAGACGTCCCAGCAAAATAACCCACATTCCTTTCCATATTTCTGGCATGAAGATCAAAGATGGTCCCTAAATTGACACAATGTGTCAATCTATACCATGCAGTATAGCAAAATCTGTGATGAGCAGACAAATTGGGTGTCTATGTGTGTGTACAGGCTTTTACAACCTCCCTGGTAGGAGGTTTGGCTCAACACACTCATCTCCCCAATGTGTCAAAACTTGCATGGAGGCTTCATGGGTCACTGATATCAAATGTTGCTCCCACCTCCTTATTAGATCAGCAAGATACTTAGCCAGTGCAGCATAGCAGTAGAATTAAAACGTACTTGAACTGTATTTTGCTTAAGAATGTAAACACTCATTAACAGGAATGTAACAGCTTCAATATTTCCAAAACCCAGATATGTTAAGGCACATGATTGAAGGGTATAGTGAGACATCATTACAAAGTGTTAAAAATGTAAGAGTTCAAGTGCAATTCATGCTATTGGTAGAATTGCCTCTTAAAAGTGACATATGTAGTGGCAGCACCAGAAATAAGAGATGTTCAGTGTATAAATACTGTAAGAAAAAGAAACTTGGTTGTTGGCAATCCATAAGGATAGAAATGTATTTCAAATACATTAAAGCAAGAGGTATTTTAGCAATGTGGAGTTCTATAACAAACAAAAACATGAAAAAGCCTCTTCATAATCATTAGATGTGGCAAAAATAAGAACATAAACTAATTTGACCAGTACACTTACCAATTATGCACTAAGTAGAACTCTTTTTTTCTATCAAATTTTTGTTTTGCTCAGAAAATCTCCGTAATAGTTGCTTTGTAAAACACATCTTATTTGCTTTTAATATAGTAATCCTTAATTTATTCCATAAAAAGCAATGATTTTAGTTATTGTGCCATTAATTTTGTCAAAAATCCACTTTTTATTATTTGTTTGATTGTTTGGAATTGGCTCAAATTCATTCACTGGTGAAAATTCCATGATCTCTGAAGCTATTTACCCACTTACATGATCATGGACTTTCTTTGGCCCCACTAAATTCCATGGTAAATTTCCAGCTGGCTTAAGTGAAAACAGAATTTCACCCCTGTTTTTTTCACTGATGGAGTATTATTTGGCAGAATGGCGAGAGTTAGCTGGGTTTTCCCTAACAATCCAGAAATCTGTAATTATTAAATCTTTAAAAAAAGTTTGAATACATCCCACGGGTGAGACCTTAGTGTTTTGATTATTCAAGGACAAAGCTTCCAGTTGCTGTAGGCACAGGTTTAAGGGGTCAGCTTTGGAATGAGCTCTGTTGGGAGGAGAATGTGGGTCACAGTCAATGTCTTGCCTGTGACTTCCAGCAGCTGGCACATAAGCAACACTGGGAGGTGCTCTGATTCCATTCACGTG